GTGTGTTGGTGGATGTATTAACTGCTACAACCTTTCAGGAAAGCTATTTCTTGAAATCTATCAGAAATAAAAATTTTGATCTAAGAACTCATCTTTACAAATAGTGTTATGTGGATCTGGGAAATATACCACAAAACAGTGTCTTCATTTATAGAGAGGTTCTGCAAAGAATCTCAATGTATCTCATGGTAGGTTTGAAAAGGAAAGGTGATATTGATCCATCACTCGTTAAAAATGAAAGTTATATTGCAGAGCAGAAAGATACCCTGTTAAAATATTTCATTCATAACTCAGTATGCCTGTGAAAAATTAAATTGCCCATATCTGCATGGAATGGTGTTAGGCTGTGGATAAGGGATTACTGTCTTATAATCCTGGCTAACAGTTTTCGTTTTCTGGGTTGCTTTGTGGTCCAGGATGTCCACAGTAAAAGTTGGGCCCTGACATCAGTGAGTAAGAGTAAGGAAAGATAGAAAGGTCCAACATTAACCTTATTTGACAAGGTGCCATTGTGCAGCTTTCTCCAAAGTTCAACACAACAGTTTGTTTGTCTCTCACTGATACTTAGTTGCAAGATCACACTCAGCTGCCACATCATTGACGGACACCCTTTTCTCTCTCTTTTTTTTAAAGATTTATTTTATTTTTATTGGAAAGGCAGACACACAGAGAGGAGGAGAGACAGAGGGTATGATCTTCCGTGTGATGATTCACTCCCTGAGCAGTTGTAATGGCTGGAGCTGAGCCGATCTAAAGCCAGGAACCTGGAATCTCCTCCAGGTCTCCCACACGTGTGCAGGGTCCCAAGGCTTTGGACTGTCCTTTCCTGCCCTGTATCAGGCCACAGTCAGGGAGCTGGAACCAATGCCCATATGGGATCCTGGCACGTGCAAGGCGAGAACTTTAGCTACTAGGCTACCATACTGTACCCATGACACCCTTTCTTATGCTGGATGGCCGTGGGGCTTCTATTGGCTCAGGGGGACAGGGATTGGATAATGCAGAATTATCATGTCATTATAGAGATAGGCTTATGGCTGGTGCCTCAGAAAAGCTCTGAAAAACTATGCATGAACCGCTGTCCAGCAGACATTCTAGGTGACATCAATGGAGCATATTTTACCTTATTCTTGTCTAGACCAGCATCTTTCAAAAGTTCCGGCAACGTGTATGTTGTGAACAAACTATGCATAAGGTTCAAAATGTTTTATTGTTTCTGTATATTACAAAGATTCACAGTAACTGGGGCTGATCTAGGCTGAAGGAACTCAATTCAGGACTCCCGTGTACGTGGCCAGGGCCTGGCTCTTTGAGGCCTGCTGCCTCCCAGGGTGCTCGTTGCCAGGAAGCTGGAATCAGGAGCAGAGCGTGGGCTAGAACCCAGGCCTTCAAACGTGTGGTGTGGACAAGTGCTCCACTCGCCAAGCCCAAGACCTGTGCTCAAAACTTTCTTGCACAGAAAAACTTTTTTGAAAAAAGATTTATTATTTTTGTTTGAAAGACATAATTACAGAGGGACAGAGAAGAGAGGGAGGGAGGGGCGAAGAGAGAGAGAGAGAGAGATTGATTGAGACATCTTCCATCTGCTGGTTCACTCACCAAATGGTTGCAATGGCTGGTCCAGAGCCAGGAGTGAGAAACTTCTACTAAGTCTCCCTTGTGGATACTGGGGCCCAAGCACTTGCCCCATCTTCTGTTGCTTTTGCAGGTTCTTAGCATAGATTTGGATTGAAGCTGGAGCAGCTGGGCCACAAACCAGTGCCCATGTGGGATGTAGGAACCTGGGGGCTGAAGTTTTACCTGTTGATGCTACAATGATGGTCCCACAAACTTTTCTTTCCTTTTCTTTTTTAAACTTAGTTTTCAGTTCTGTTTTTTCGGAGTATCTCTGTTACTCTTGGATGTTTTTTCCATGAGCATGGTTTACTTTCAAGATAATAAGCAAACATAAAATCTCAAAGCAAATTAACCACAAATTCATGATTTATAAGGATAAAGTCAGAGGCTTACCATACATTTCAGAATCCATAGTGAATGCTATTGTTCCTTTTGGTGGTAGTAAAACAGTGTAAAAACTTTTAAAGAAGTATTGAGTTTGAGAATAAACCTGACTTACCCAGGCTTTGAGTAATGTTCTGAGAAAGAAGTGGGATGGATGCATTTTGAGATTTTTTTGATGACCATGGCATTCTGATTTTTGCAGTGGAGTAGGACAAAATTTGATATGTATTCTTAATTCTAAGGCCTTCCAGTAAAAATTATTAGAAACTTTAACTGATTATGAGCCTAATGTAATAAGAAATCTGCTTTTGTTTGAAGCTATAATTGGAAGTAATTAAACAAAAATCACAAAAATATATAGTTCATTGGTACTTATATATTCACATATATTCATAAACATTAGTATATGGGTAACTTAAAGTAATTATCCAGTGTAGCATTTTATTGACTTAATGAGGGCTTTTGGGATTTATAATGTAACAATGTACTTTTGCTAGGAACTCTTTCCTCATTCAGGTAATATGTTTTTACATTTTTAATAAGTCCATAATTTCCTATAATCCCTTCCCGAATATGAACTATTAACATGGTTGGTTGGAAATCATTTCGTAAAATCATTCTTCTCTGAGTTCGTTCAAATAAACGTTTTACCTTTTCATTGCTGGTGGTTTGATTATGTGTACTGTGAACTGAAAGTCGCTTTGTATTTAGTTTTTACTAGCTTGTTCCCCACATAGGATTGTATGTCTTTCTTTTTTAAAAACATATTTATTTATTTTTATTGGAAAGGCAGATACACAGAGAGGAGGAGAGACAGAGAGTTAGGTCTTCTGTCCAATAATTCACTCCCCACTGGCTGCAAGGGCTGGAGCTGAGCCAATCTGAAGCCAGGAGCCAGGAGTCTTTTTCCGGGTCTCCCACGTGGGTGCAGGGTCTCAAGGCTGGGTCCTCGACTGCTTTCCCAGGCCACAGGCAGGGAGCTGGATGGGATGCAGGGCTGCTAGGATTAGAACCGGCGCCCATATGGGATCCTGGCGTGTTCAAGGCGAGGACTTTAACCACTGTGCTATCATACCAGGCCCTGTATGTCTTTCTAAGTATGTATCTGTCTGTATGTCTGTCTATCCATCACCATCCCCCTTTTCCCAAATCCCTGCAGTATTCTGGACTGGGCAGATGCAAGTCAGGAACCAGGAATGACGTTTAGTACTCACAGCCTTATATAGCACTTGTGGGACATTCAAGGGCAAAGAATATTTGACTGTTACATGAAGGGTCTCTTGAAAGTTCATAAAAATGCATATTATGAAGCAATTGCACGGCTTAAAAAAACATTTGCACTAAAATGAACTTTTCATTCCCTTTCTACCAATTTTTATACCTTGTCTATTTTTTTTATACCATGACCTTTCATATCCTCATATTACAGAGAAATCAAGTGGTATGTTTCTTCCTCGATTTATGTTCATGTCTGTAAAAGGTAGCAACCTAGTGAAGCATAACATGAGCTAAGCTCACCTTGGATGGCTGGGGATCCACAGCACCTGATGGGCTCGGTAGACATTTGTGTGATTGTGCTTACCTGAGAGTGTGCTGCCCTATTGTCTGCCCAAGACAAAGGCAGCGTTTAGAGCTGCAGGAGACCACATGAGGCCTTTGTCATGGTTTGTACTCTTTTTGAGTAATAAACGCCTTTAAGAATCTTAAGATTAGACCCTCCATTGCAAAATGAATGAGTGCTTGTGTTTGGGACTTTAGCTACATACTTATGGCGTTCCTGGGCTGTTTTAAGCCTATCCACAGGGGTGTCTTGGTCCTAATAAACTTCTGTTTTATAGGTAAATAAGCTGAGCACTAGAAGTATTTCATGATTTTTCTCATATGGTGTAGGTTATCTTTTAATCTGGAGCTTTTCTTTTTTTTTTTTAATTTTTATTTTTATTGGAAAGGCAGATATACAGAGAGGAGAGACAGAGAGGAAGATCTTCCGTCTGATGATTCACTCCCCAAGTGAGCACAACGGCCGATGCTATGCCGATCCGAAGCCAGGAGACTCCTCTGGGTCTCCCACGCGGGTGCAGGGTCCCAAAGCTTTGGGCCATCCTCGACTGCTTTCCTGGGCCACAGGCAGGGAGCTGGAAGGGAAGCGGGGCTGCCGGGATAGAACCGGTGCCCATATGGGATCCTGGGCGTGCAAGGCGAGGACCTTAACCACTTGCGCCACCGCACCAGGCCCAATCTGGAGCTTTGCTATGTGTTTTCAAGTGTCTGGCTGTGGAGGAAAGTTTGGTTGTCTTATTGGAACTGTACATGTGGAATGTATAAACATTTATTCTCTTTATATTAAAATGATTTTAAAAGTCTCTAAAATACATGTGATGTGGCTGTTGTCATGTTGAATATGCTACCAAAGAGTGTTTGTTCCAGCAAAAAAAAAAAAAATCATTACCTGGTGAGAAATGTTCGAAGAGTGGACAGTAGAGATCAATAAGAATTCCTTCAAGTCTTGGTGCAGATTAAAGCCTGAGACTTTAGTATTCAGTCTAAAAATAGGAGCAGAAAATAGAAGAGAGCATGTTTTGTGTGCACAGTGTATGGCTGTTCTCACCTGTGGTGGTTTGGAGTTGTGAGCTCTCACCTCCTTGCAACCTTACCACACAATCTTTCGCTTTCTCGTACTGCGTGCTTGGGTGTAGGCAGCCTCCATTGCCTGAGGTTGCTGTCTCCCCTTCTGGCTTTATCATGCCTTATCTAATATCCGTGGACCCTCTAGAATGGATGTATTCCAGTATTTAGTATCCATTGTATCCAGGATAAAGTAGCCAGGTCCAAGCTATCCAATAAGGGCAGATGCTGCAAAAATAAGAATGTGTGGCCATGGTCTTCATTTTGTTTTTTGAGTAGCATTGGATGGGTATGGCTTTCGTTTCCTTTTCAGACATGTTCTGAGGAGCTATTACCTGGCATAGTTAACCTTCTTTCCCCCTCTTCCTTGGCAGCATCTCTTGGACAGTCCACAGCAATCTTCTGTCCAGCTCTGGGTCTCCTTTGGCCGGAAGCCCATGCGAGCCGCCCAGTTCGTTACAAGACATCCTATTAACGTAAGTGGCGTCTGCTTGAGGGTGTGAAGACAAGTTATCTCGATGTAGAAGTCAGGTGGAGGGTGTTGGTGGGCACGAGCTACTGGGGTAAATAGTTGTTGTATGCCTCTGGAAGTCTTTTTCCAGAGAGATGAGTCTCTCTCCAGCCGTTATCTTGTGCTGTTATTTTCCATTTCACTGTTTGAAGTGGAGCTGAACAGGGGACTGAATTTGCCTTAAGTGCAGCAGAATTGGCAGAAAGGTTGGAGCCAGTCAGTGACCTCGTGTGCCAGTACCAAAGCAATGGGCACTTTGTCCACTTCAATGGTTATTCATAAGGTACCTACTGTATTGCTCACCAGCAACTTGCATCTGTAAAGCTATGAGATTTGAGTCTTCCTTTGTAAGAGGAGACAGGTTAATGAAAGCAACAACTGAGCAGAGGAGGAAATCAGGTACAGTCGGGGGTCCTTATGAGAAGGAATTAGTATTGGAAGGCTGTGGCGTTAAGCTGTTGGTTTGGTGGAAGTGAGTAATTCAGAGGGCAGGCAAGGGAGAATAGTCTTGTCAATTCCTGGCTATTTCTAGGGGTTCCTTAGTCATCTCACAGAAAACAGTCTACATTGTACTTTACTACTGTTTCCTGGGAAAAACTGGGGGAGACATTATTAACTAGAGAGAGATTTCTAGGTCATTTTTGGCCCAGTCTTACCTTGCGCCTCAAATGCCAACAAGGGGCATGGCTCTCCAAAGGGAAGGTCAAGAGGTCAACAGGGCTTCCTTGCCAAGACCAAGGACTTTAGGCTTCACTGGCCAGAGCCGGACATTTGGTAGTCATTATTTTTGTGAGTGTTGAGAACGCCTCCGGGGCACGTCCTGTTTTTGACTTCTGTGTTTCTTGTGATTCCAAAGGAATATTACATCGCAGATGCCTCAGAGGACCAGGTGTTTGTGTGTGTCAGTCACAGCAACAACCGCACCAATCTGTACATCTCGGAGGCAGAGGGCCTGAAGTTCTCCCTGTCTTTGGAAAACGTGCTCTATTACAGTCCAGGAGGGGCTGGCAGTGACACCTTGGTGAGGTAAGGAGAAAGTGAGGCCCGACCTAGCCTTCCTGGGTCATCTCTGAGGCCCACCCCTACCTTCCTGGTTCCTCGCATCCTTCAACCCACAGTACCACAGGTGACAGTTGAATTGGTTTGGGATGTGGCCCTGGTGTGCCCAGAGAAGCTAAGCAGGGACCAAAGCTAGAAGCTTGGAATTCAACCTGGGTCCTCTATATGTGGGTAACATGAATCCACCTGCTTGAGTCATCATGCTGACTCCCAGCTTGTGCATTGGCAGGAAGCTGGAATCGGGCTCAAATTCTCTCCTATGTGAGATGCAGCTATTGTAACTGACCAGGTACATGCCCCTGCGAGGATGTTGAAAAGCTAATCCTGCTCGGAGTAGCATGGAGAATCACAGCAGCCGTGTTATGCCATCCCTTCATTGAGTTATCTGATTTTGTGGTCTTTTGAGTTCTTGCAAAATATCATCTGGTTAGGTAGAGCAAGCCAGAGTGGCCCAAGGGCATCGTTGATCCTTTATCTGTAAATATTGAGCTTGGAGCTGTTTGGCAGGACTAGAACAGGGTTTCTCTGAAGGCACTGCAAGGAGGAGTTGGGGTTTGGGATGCATGGGTAGGTTCTTAAGATCCTGTCAGTGCCATAAACCCTTCTCTTCTCATCTATTGACTAACAGACCAGATTTGATTAGGAACACCGTGTTCTTAGATAGAGTCCTGTGTGAAACTGGCAGACTGTCCTGGGGTGAGGTCTGCTTTGGTGCTGTGACCCCCCACCCCCCAGGCCACAGGTCATACCCCTGCTGCCCACCATCTCTCTTTGTGTCGACAAGGCTTTCCATCATTGATTGACTCAACAAGTATGTTACTACTCTCAGAGGGTGGTGTACTGGGGGTAGTAGTGAAACAGCAGTAAGGAAACCCAAGCACGTCTCTTGTTTTCCATGTACTTTTTGAAGATGCTTCAAGTTAGGAAAATATGGGAGACATACAGCAAAGAGAGAGATAAGGATCTAGCAGGGAGAAACTCAGGCCTCTTGAACGTGTGGAAGAAACTAGTCATTCTGTGTGGTTAAAAACTCGCGTTGTCTAACATATCAGTCACTCAATACAATGTTAATTAACCCTATAATGTCAAAAACTGTTGTTAATGTTATATTATGGCTTTTAATTGGTCAGAATGAAATTCTGCCAGCTATGTCTTCAGACCAGAGTTGGTCTCCCCAAGAAACTGTTGAATTCAGCTGGGCAATAAGATACTGGACTCTATGCATGGCACATGCTTGCAATTAAAGAAACAAGACTGGATTTGAACTGTAATACTGCAATAAGGTGAAGCAATCCACCATGAGGGGAGGGCACGGAAAGGGGATGGGGGAACATCAGAGCCTATGAAACGTTGTTATAAAATGAAATGCAATAAAAAACATATATATATATGTTTTATATAGATATAAAGAAACTAGTCGTCCTGGGTCTGACAGCTTTCATGGTGGTAAAACCAGAGGTGAGGTGAGGAGTGACAGGAGGGCGATCAACGTTCAACCCGTTCCTGAGGAACCAAGGAAGTGCTGTAGCTTCAAGGATGCTACACACCAGAGATTTGGGTCTCTATAGTCCTTTTAGGATTTCCTCAATCTCTCCATCCACAGTGGCTTTGTTGGAGCTGCTAACTTCCATTGGTGTGCCTCCAGGGCCATGTGCACCCCTGGTTTAGGAAGCTCCAGGTATTTCTGCAATGGTTCTTGCAGGTCTGTGTGAAGAGCCTAGTGTCTCAGAAACCCTCAGATAAGGGGCATGCTTCCAGTCTTAGCTGTGTGAACTGCAGTTCCTGTTTCTCATTGATCTGGTGCGTTTGTAATGCATGTGCTGCCTTAGTGTGGTTGTTTCCTGGTAAACCACAACATCCTCTCACAGCATTTGAAGCTTGGGGAGCCTTCAGTGCTTCCCTGCTCATGTGTATAACCAGCTTTCTAGAGTTGTGCTTCTGCTTTGGACTGCTTCTCTGGGGATGGGATTGACAGATTCTGCTGGGCTTCTTGACAGAAAAGCCCGTGGGCTTCTCAGGGAATGGGCTATTGGAGAATTAGGTTGTGATGGCCTGGGCAAGGGGCCATGGAACCCTTAGCTGTATTCTTGCAAATGGAGTTATACTGTAAGCCTCACCATTGTTACAAGTTGAGCACTAGCCCTCAATGCTTTCTGGAGCAATTGGGCTGAACATCAAGAGTAAAGAAATAGATGTGACTCACAGTTATTCTACTCATCATCCCAAACCCTATTAAGAGTTGTTAATCACATAAACGTCCTAGCTTTCAAAGTCAAGATAACATGATCAGTTTTCTTAAAAAAGCAGATTGTTTGGAGATAAACAGAAATTAAGTATGATATGTACAATAAATCTTAGGAGCAGTGTTTTAACTGAAAGTAACTGGATACCAAGGACTATATATCACTCAGTCCCACTTGAAATGTCCAGAATCAATAAAATGGTAGTTGATCTCAGTAGATCGCTTGTTCTGGAGCCAGAAGAGAACTGGAGAGGGACTGTCTGTGTGGGGTACAGGGTATCCTTTTTGGGAGATGCACAGAACCCAGAATTGGATAGCAATGATGGTTGTAGAGTATTGTGGATGTCCTCGGTGCTCCACAAGAATTTATTTTAAGGTGATGATGTTTTACATTCTTTATAATAAAAATATTCCAATTAGGGTTCAATTCATTTGTTTTCTCGTAGGTACTTTGCAAATGAGCCATTCGCTGACTTTCATCGTGTGGAAGGGTTACAAGGAGTCTACATTGCCACTCTGATTAATGGCTCTATGAACGAGGAGAATATGAGATCTGTCATCACCTTTGATAAAGGGGGTACCTGGGAATTTCTGCAGGCTCCAGCCTTCACGGGGTATGGAGAGAAAATCGATTGTGAGGTACAGAGGCTTCCATCTTGTTTGGCTTTTTAGTATTAGGAAAAGATCCCTGACCTGTAGGCATGTCTTATCTCTAACATTTACTGGAAGAAGGCACAGTCATAAAACGCTCCACTGACATCATATGGATATTTGTGTTTCTGTCCTTTCAGCCCTCCCCCCAGATTTGTGCCAAGATACCCTGAGTCAAGATTGTGAACTCACTGGGAATGTCTTGGGCTATTTTAAGTTTTTAAGGGAGAGATCATGATACTCAACCTCTCTTAGACTCTGCCAGTTGCCTGAGTATCTCTAGCTTGAGTTCATGGTTTTACCATGAGGTCATGGTATACTTGTTTCGAAGATGTTTTGAGATACTGGGAATAGATGTGCTAACAAAACCAGTGAAGACAGTCATTTCAATTAGAGATTGAGGGTGGTAGTACTGGTGGTATTCCAAATGTTGAGAATGTGTGCTATTCTGTAACAGGTGCACACATTCCACCTGTCAGTAATTGTAGTTTTTTTGCAAGTAAAATTAAAATGTGTTTTTTTTTCAATTTATGTACTACCATTTTAGACTGCTACTAAATTATTAGCAAAAATGTATTCATTATGTTGTTTGTGCTTAACTAGGTAGAAAACACAATTGGTATTTCTTCTGGCCTAAGGCTTCTATAAAAGAAATGTGCTGAAACACCAGTTACATTTCAATCAAGACTGCTTGAGAACCTCTGGCAAAGGTTATTACCTCTCTGAATATAATCAGGATTATAAAGTTACTCTTACCTATAGGCCCATGGAAAAGCTAAGTGTATTAATGTATTATTTGGACTCATTAAGGATGCTTCTGAGCCATATTAGCTCCTTCCTAGTCCTTTAGAGGAATGATCTAGATTGTGGTCCCTGCCTTTGCGTGACATCCACATTTCTGTTCCTGCTTAACCTAAGGAATTCAGAGATATTTCAGTAGGTAGGTAGAAAACCCAGGGGGGAAAAAAGACACAAGTAATACTCAGCTTTGGAAAACCTGTAATATTTTAATTAGACAGTTTTCTTGTCTGCTGGGTTTTTGAATTTTGTTTGCATAGTGGTAAATGATGTAGACTTTTTCATATGCTGTGTCTGCAATCTGTGGGCACATTCATTTGGAGATTCTTTCCCTAGGTTATGCATTATGCTTCTTCACACCCCCCCCCTCCAGCAACAAATGTTGTTTACTTATTTTTATGCTCTTAATAGATACATACAAATGCCTCCATGCTCTTCCTTGCTAGTAATGTTTGAGACCACTCAGCCTCTACTTGACCTAGCAGGGGTGAGGTCATGATTTTTGAGTATGCAGTATGGCTCAGATCCTTGGGTAAACAGAATTAATAATATTAAAAGTCAGCTTTTACATCCCTGTTTAAACAATTTACCTATATACCGTAGGACAATTAATCAGCTTTTAATTTCAGCTTCTAAGTTTAGAGGTCAAAAAGATCATATAGGAATATTTCACGTCTCACTGTGTGAGGGCGTGCATCCGTGAATAGACTTATGTGCATGTGAAGGGGAGTAGCTAAATAAATATGTACTTGAGTTTCAACCTAATCTACTTGGTTTCTGGGGCAACTACCAAGATGGCTAATTGTTAGAACCTCTGGGGTGGGTCCCACAGACCTGGTCTCAATAAGCACACCGAGTCCCTCTGTGCAGAACATTGGATCATCTGAATGTCCTAGAACGGTCACATTCCCCCAGCAGTGTCAGGTGTGGCCGTACAGCAAAGACCTCACTCTGGTTATTTGCAGAGCTATTAAGCCTGAACACGTGCCACCAAGGTCAGTTGGAGTGACTTGTGGCTTTGCCTTGTCTACTTACATCTTTGTACAAACAACTCAGGTGAATCTTGGGGTGTTCATTTCTTGTATGTTGCGCATCTGGGCACTTCTCAGCGAGGCCTTGTGATGCCTCCTTCATGGTTTTTCTGCCAACAGAATTGCTGGACTCCTGTTTGACACAGGTCTCTGCAGATACAGAAAACAATGATCGCAGCCTCATTCTGATTCTCTTTATCATTGAATCACTTGGCAAGATCTCTGGTTGACACAACCAGAGGGTGCCTTCTTTGTTTCTACACGTTGATACTGCTTTCTAGTAGTTATTCCCTTATAGTCACAGAAGAAATTTTTAAATTATTTTTCCCTTTTATTCAATGAGACACATTTGGGTAGTTCTATGCAACATTTCCTGCCTGGGCGTTGTGCTGATGGCCAGCTGGGAGACTGCTGTCCTTGGGACCAACTGCTAGATTCCCATATCACCCTCTAGGTTGAAGGAGATCTAGGTATGGTAGCACCTGCTGACACCTTGTGCAACAACTTTTGTTCTGTAGCTTTCTGAGGGCTGTTCGCTCCACCTGGCCCAGCGCCTCAGCCAGCTGCTGAACCTCCAGCTCCGGAGGATGCCCATCTTGTCTAAGGAGTCAGCGCCCGGCCTCATCATTGCCACTGGTGAGTGTGCAGCTGCGGAGGCCGCCCCCAACTCCACATCTCCAGCTGTAACCACTTGAATTTTGATATGGTCCTGGTGTTGGGTGTGGTGGTTGTTGAATATATTCTTTTTTGTTTCAATTAATAAGCTAGACAGAGAGATGATCAAATCAGAGAGAGAGAGAGGGAGAGAGTGAGCTACCATTTACTAGTTCACACCCTGAAAGACTGCAGGGGCTTGGACTGGACTGGATTGAAGGCAGGAACCAGTATCTCATTCTTACTTTCCCATATGGGAATCAAGACCCTTGTTACTTGAGTTATAGCTTCTGCCCCCAAGGTCTGCATTCAAAGGAAGCTGGAATTAGGAAGCAGAGCTGGCATTCAGACCTGGACACTAGAAGGAGGGAAGGTAGCTAGCTGTTAGGTTAAACGTCTACTATGACCCGCTCTTGGGAGAAATAATCATTCCTGTTGTCTTTTAGGCTCGGTGGGGAAGAACTTGGCTAGCAAGACAAACGTGTATGTCTCAAGCAGCGCTGGGGCCAGATGGCGAGAAGTGAGTCCTCTTCCTCCCCCTGATTGGTGGTTCTTGTGAGTGTGAGAGTGTAGGCCGTGTGCCAATTCATCAACACATCTGGTCACTGCTGGAGGCTGTCTGCTGTGTGTGACTCTAAAGAGAGGTGTCCAAAACAATACCAAAAAGTGTCAGTGATTTGGGCACAGGAGCTTCAAAGCTTTCATGGAAACTTTGTGTGATCTTTTGATTCTGTTTTCCATGAAGTTTTTGAAGTCCCTGGTTAGTTAGACCTTGTGGTGTGGACTCAGCAGTTTATCCAAAACTAATATTTTAAATTAAAAAAAACTTTTAAAAGCTTTAATTTTAATTTGCCTAGATCGTAAATCCTTTGTGGGCAAAGATAGTATCTATTTTGCTTGTTCATCCTCAGGACCTCGCAGTGTCTGACCTGGAAGCAGCTGCTCACTATTTGTTGAAAGTTTTAGCAAGTTCCATTGTGTTTGGGGTGTGAATCAGGTGTAAAACTAGTTATTTTAATTTTTTTCAAAAACAGTTTTGAAATGTATTTTTTTAACGTAACAATCTGAGAGGGAGAGAGAAAATCACCCATCTGCTGATTTGCTTCCCAAATACTCATTAAACCAGTCCGAAGCCAAAGAGCCAGGGGCTCTGTCTGCGTCTCCCCAACACGTGGCAGTGATCAAAGTACATCTGCCTCTTGGTATATACATGAGCAGGAAGTTAGTTCAGAAGCAGAGGCAGTACTCGGTCCAGAGCATTCTGATAAACGATGAGGGCATCTCGAGCAGTGGCTTAACTTGCTGGGCCGCAGCATCTGCCCCTGTGTTTCTGACTCTGTCTTGCATTTTATAGAAGCTCAAGTCCAGCCTCCTCTCCTGGGGTTGTGCTGTTCGTTCCTTTCTTTCTGTGCTGTCGGAAGTATGAACTGCTTTTGGCCCAAAGAATGTGATCCTTGGGCCATGCTTGTACCAGTTCCATCAGTGGGGCTGCTTTTGCAGTCCTGAAGTATTAACTAAACCTTCAGCCTTGGATGTGATAGAATCCCCTAACTTGTAAAGCAGAATTTTTTCACCAGACACACGAAGGCCCAGCAAAGTGCACAGCTGGTCTCATTTGCAGGGCCTGTGATCAGTGGTGACTCCGTGTATGCCTCTGGGGTAAACCCAAGAGGTCACTGATGAAGAGTGTGTGGAGAACATCACAGACTGGACCCATGTCAGGCTCGATGCACCTCCTCTCCCCGTTGTGCCTCCCAAGCGCCTGCAGTGTGGACAGATTCGTATGTCCATTTGTCATGTGCGAAACAACCAAACATCAGCGGTTGTGTGGCTCTTTGCAGTGGTCAGGGAGCTGTCATGTGACCTTAGCTCTTTTGTAGCTGGACTTTTCATTCCTGCAACTGAATATGGGACCTAGACGCTGTGTGTGAGAGAGAGATTAAGGGCTGATTGGCACTGTAGCACAGAGTACAGCAGACACCCAGATGCAAGAGATCAGTTAGGCCAGAATCATCAAAAAGAGGCAGTAGTTTGTAATTTTTGAGTCATCCTTACGCTGCTTCCTTAGGAAAGATTCTGCAGCTGTGCTTTCTGTGGAGCTGGCCATGCCTTTGCGAATTGGGTACTCTGTGTCCAGGCCGTGCCTTGTTTGTACCTTTTGCCTTGAGTAATGTGTGATTTGAACATCTGCAGTGATTTGCTTCTGTGTCTCGTCCTCCTCCAGTGATGTGGTGTGATCTGTCTATTGCGAGAGCAGCTGTTTGCCTCCCTCTGTGCATGCTAATGCCTGCCAAGATCCAGCCAGTGCACAGGGGACCTGATCTGGGGAGAGAGCAGAGAGCTAACCAGCCAGTAAACAGGCAGAGAGTGTCCCGTGTGAGCGAGTGTGTGTCTGTGTCTCTGGAAAGCCTGCCTTAAGAGGCACAGGCTGGAGTGTGTTACAGGTGTTGTGCAGGACCGGGGTGTGGTGCATGGGCAGAGTGGCATTCTGGTTCTCCCAATGAGCAGTGCAAGTCCTCTGATCTCAGAATTCCCATCTTCTGTTTTCCTTCTCTAACAAGTGTGGGCATAAAGCAAACTGAACATATCTAATATTTTCAGTTTGATCAGAACTGATTCTCATCACCAGAGTTAACCTAACAGTTTCATCACTTGCTTTCCCAAGTAACCATGCCTATGTCTCTTCATCCTGGTCCCTGGCTGCTTCTGTCACCATGTTATCAGTAGGTGGAGTCTGCAATTTTATGTTCATCATGGGTTTTCTTTGAATTTATCCTGTTTGGAGGTGTTGATATCGTTTGCCTTCTTAATTTTTATTTTAACATATTTCAAGTAATTGGAAAAGTATAAGGGAAAGTTCCATGAATGCATAAATAGATTTTACAATTTTTAACATCTGACATATTAACTTCATATGTAAATAGATGCACATGTAGACAATATTTTCTTGAAAGTTGGGGTGAATATGTTAATATCATATAAAATGGGGTTCATAGCAAAGATGATCAAATGAATAGAGAAGAGCATATTAAAAATTCCGTAACAACTATAATTCAAAGATGGCAGCATAAAATCCATAGTGAAGGAAATGACATCCACTTTTAACTCTGTGTGTGTGTATTTCAGCACAGGAGAGAAAATATGGTGTTTGTCTTTTTGTGTCTGGCTTATTTTACTTAATAAAATGATCCCCAGTTTCATCCATTTTTGTTATCAATGTCAGGATTTTATTCTACTTTTTATGCCATGTTTTCTTTATTAGCCATCCATTGGTGGGCGTGTAGCTTGATTCTCTTTGCTTTTGTGAAGAGGACTGTGGTAAACATGGGTACCTTCTATACTGATATTCTCAGAGGTGGAATTTCTGGATCATATGATCATTCTATTTTTGGTTTTCTGAGTAAGCTTTATACTGCTTTTCGTAAGGAGTGTATTAATTTGCATTCTTGCCAGCAGCGTATCAGGGTACCCTTCCCTTCATGTCCGTGCCAGGATTTATTGTTTGTCTTTTTCGTAATAGCCACTGTAACTGAAATGTGATTTTTATTTGCATTTCTATGATGACTAGTGATACTGAACTTTTAAAATTGTGTTTATAGGTCATTTCTTTTCTTTTGAAAAATGTCTATTCATACCCTGTACTCATTTCGTAAGCGAATTGTTTGCTTTATTGTTGAATTTGTTGGGTTCCAAACGTATTTCCTGGTTATTAATTCTTTATCAGATGCCTTGATTGAAAACATTTTCTTCCATTTTGTCAGTTGTCTCTTCATTCTGCTGTTTATTTTCTTTGCTCTGAGAAGTTTCCTAGTTTATGTCCCATTTGCACATTTTAACTTTTATTACCTGTGCTTTTGAGATCTTATCCTAAAGAGTCATTTGCTATGCCAGTGTCTTGGGGGTTTTCCTCCTTTGTTTTCTTCTAGTGGTTTCATGTGCTGCATTTAGATCTTTGATTGATATTTAAGTGGATTTTCCATGCAGTCTAAGATAGGAATCTTAAACTTCTATGAAATCCAGTTTTCCCAACACCATTTGTTAAGGAGATTTCCCTTTCTCAAGGAAATGTTTTTAGCACCTTTTCCAGCACACACTGGTTTTGGATACATGGATTTATGTCTGGGGTTTCTATGCTGTTCCGGTGGTCAATGTGTTTGTTTTCAGCCTCGCTGTTTTGGTTCTAATAGTCTTGTAGCATGTCTTGAAATTTTGCGCTGTAATGGTTCCAGCTTTATTTTGGTTATTTAGGATTGCTTTGGCTATTTGGGGATCTTTTGTGATTTTTTTGTTTGTTTTAAGTTGCATGAAGAATGCTGTTGATAGTTTCTTTGTTGTTGCTTTGGGTTTTTATTTTTCATTGTACAGTTCTGTAGGAATAGGACTTTGCCCCTTTGCTTCCCTTTTCCTCTCTCCCCCTCCTCCCCTTCCCATTGTCCCCTGTATTTTACATTGATACGGCCCTTCAGCTGTTTCACAATTCAAACATTCTTATGTGTGTCATGATGTTATAGGTTTAGGCAATGGTAGAGAATCTAGTCTCCTGTTATCAAAGTGTATTTAACAGTTTTGTTATTGGGGCATTTTTTTTTTTTTTATTAGGGAGTAGGGATGCCACTGCAGTTCTTTGTTTCCCGGTACTCTAGTCTCCATTTCACCACTTATTTGTGAGAATATAAATGTATACGTGTCTGCCTAAATATCTTTTGTTTTCTGTTTTACATGAAGGTTGTCTTACAACAGAAAGAACATGACATTTGTCCTTTTGAGGTTCGTTTATTTTACTGAGCATAATAGTCTCCAGTTGGGACCACTTACAAATGGTAGAATTTCAATATTTTTCATGGCTAAGTGGTATTCCATAGAGTAAATATACCACAGTGTATCCAATCCTCTTTTGATGGGCATCTAGGTTATTTCTGTGTCTTTGTTATTATGGACTGTACTGCTATGATTATAAGGATGCAGGTTGCTTGCTCATGTAGAGCTTTCGCTTCTTTTGGCTATACTCCCAACAATGAGGTTGCTGGATCATATGGTAGATGAATTTTCAGTTTTCTGAGCACTCTCCATTTGAATTTGTTCTTTTGAAAAATGTTCGTTTCCTTTGCCCATTTTTAAACTGGTTTATTTGTTTTGCTGTTCTGTTTCTTGATCTCTTTGTAATTCCTAGATATTAGTCTCCTATCAGTTATGTAGTATGCAAAGGTTTTACCCCATTCTGTTGGTTGCCTCTTTGCTCTGTTGACAGTTTCCTTTGCTTGGATGTGATCCCACTTGTTTATTTTTACTTTGCCTATACTTTGGGTGAGTTTTCTAGGAAGTCTGTCTACATCTATATCTGGTAGAGTGTATCCTGTATTTTCTTGTAGTAGTTTGATGGTTATTGGGTGTAGATGTAGGTCCTTTGTCTATTTAGATTTGATCTTTGTATAGTGAAACACGGGGGTCTTGTTTCTTACTTTTACATCTGGGTATGCAATTGTTCCAACAATGTTTGTTGAACAGCCCAAGCTTTTCCCT